TATATTACTTCTGTACAAATTGCCGCTTAAATGAAATATTTATACGATTAAACCTCTGTTGAGTACCCGACGGCGATGTTCTTATCTTCGAATCGGTGCTTGTACCGCGGAGGATCTAAAATTAATCTCCGCCGCTCTATCAGAGTCCATCAGAACGCGACCTCTGCATTCGAATGAGCAATGGCGATCCCTGGAGCATCTCAGCTTCTTCGGCGAATCTCCGGGGGCGTCGGAACGACTCGGGATCGGATTTCCAAACGTTTTAATCGCCGTTTTTCTTTTTACTCCCCTGCCCTCGATCCCTCAATTTTCTCTCTCTCCCCCTCGGCCCCATGGTCGGGGCAGAGTCCTTTTCCAGAAAGGAGTTATCGCCGAAGGAAGCTACAGGCACCAGCGACGGCGTGGCTCCTGAAAAGGGGCTGGAGACGCCCGGCGGGGTTAAAACGACCCCCGGTCGCAGTCGGGGCTGAAGTCTGAAAGATAAGGTACCCCTCTTCTCTCTCACGGCCTCCTAGATTATGGAATGGCACTTTAATTACACTAATGGGAGAACCAAATGTTAATTACAATTCGAAGTCTAAAAGAGAGACGAGCCGCGGCACCTAAAGACAGAAGAGGATAGGCGGAAAGACAGAAAGAGAGAGAGAGAGCGGCAGGAAGGAAAGATACGGAAGGGGGAGGGGCGGTGAAGGAACCAGATGAGATTTGCCTGCGTAAGAGGGTTTCCGTGATTAGTATTATTTAATTAAAAATGCCCGGTCTCATTATGGTCACCTCTCATAAAGACCGGCGTTAGCTGCGTGGGAAGTCGCTCGGAAATTGGATTACTGGAAGAGCGGGGTAGAAAAACCGTCATTGAGAATCACTGCCGCCATACGTCCTCAATTTTCGGTTTAAATTGGATTAAGGGGACCAGCGGATAATTTGTCTATCTGGCATGGGATTCATATTATTTTGTCGTTGCTCGTTATACTTTTATTATCTCTTCTTGCGTCTGTATGTGAAAGTTTATGATAAAGTCTAAATTTAATAATAAGAAGGGTAATAAATCTATATTAACAAAAATCTAATGACTTCAAACGAAGTGAGCAAGTTTAAAATGAAAGTAACGATCACTATAACAACTTCCAATAAATTTGAATACGCAATCGATGTCTTTGAATCTCATAAATCCGAAAAATAATCTTCCTTAATTCCGAAGAAGAAGTGCCATAAAAGTGTTAATCAGCGTTCGTTAACAATTCGCCCAGCCCTCGGAGCAAGAATCGCGATCCATTCCCGTTGCGCAGGGGATCGATCCGAATGGTCGCACGGGGTACGGAGATCTTTCGTTTGAAAAATCTCGTCTAGGCGATCGACGTCCCGGGCGAGACGAGAAAGTGTACTACACGGTTGGCCACGACGCCGTGCTATCGACGCCGGGGTGGTGGCAAGCGGCAGCCGGGTTTCAATTTAAAGTTGGACGAGCGTGTCGGGATTTCAATGTACAAAATGCGTATGCTAAACTTTTCGCACCCCTCGGCGGCGTACACCCTCGCCCACCCTCGGCTCGCCTTCGTCGTCCGAGTTCCGACGAACCGGGGGCCCTTGACGGGACGGACCGAGGCTGGACAACGTCCCGACGTTGAAAAATCAGCAAGTCTGATGCCCGGCCGCCAAGTAGAAAGGGTGCGCAAGTAGAACGTTGCTCGTCAGGGTAAGCCTGCTCGCGGGACAAATGTCCCGTGGAGCACTTTGAAGTCGCTGTCCCTCGCCGCTCCCCGAACGACAAATTACTTTTTCGAGGCCGGCGCGCGGCCTTCACGCCCTTAGCGCCGCGGCTCGCCCTTAAGTCCCCTAATGATTGCAGCTGCGATCGAAAGGTGATGCATATCAATGGGTAGGCTTCGCGTCGAACATGCGAAGGAACTTTCTAATGGGTTTCTGGCCGACGCGAGCCTCTTCTCACCTTTCCCCGTGCGCGAGGGCCCGCGTTCTACAAGGGAATTTGCATCGCGACTGATGCAACGTCCTTTCGAGGGTTACTGATGAGATAGGAGGAATTTATATATTTTCTGTTCTTTTTGAATTTTGCTTTAAAATGTGTTGACAGTGAACTTTTGTATGAATGTAGAGTAGTATCTCCATTTATTCAAAAGAGTAGGTACAAATATTCGACGTGCAAGTGAGTCCTTTCTTGAAGTATTGCTGATGTTATGAACATTGTCGGATTGTTACAGTCGCTTATGAATTCAGGAGAAAGCTGAAATGTGAAGTTAAAGCATATGTCAAATTTGTCTTTTTACTAACAAATTTTTGTTCGTTTATTGTTAATATTTTCAAAATTTGATTGTAGAGCATTAAGGGTTAAAAAGAAACCAACTGTAATCAGTTGCGACAGAAATTATTGTGTAAACTGTCTCACAGGAGTAGCTTGGAGGCCTTTCTTACTTTGATTCGAGTCTGTCGGCTGGAATGCGAAATTGTGTACAATACACTCGCGGTGGGCAAGATTCACGAAGGACGACTGGAAAATGAGATAGGAAAAAGTGGAACGACGAGGATGTTTCAGCGTCCAGGCGATCGCGAATGGGCGAGAAGTTTCGCCCCGGGACTTGGATTACCGCGTGGCTTCGGTCGGATTTGAAAATCGTGGGGTCCCGGGGACACGGCGGGATGCCGGCGTAGAGATGCCGGGGCGTGATTGATTTTGCATACGACACGGATTGGACAGGTTTGAGAAATTGGACTGGCTTTCCGGCTGGTTTGGCCTCTCTCTGCCCTCCTTGGCTGCTCCCTTCGTGCCTCGGTTTTCCTCCACCCGGTTCTTTTTCTATATCGCGAGTGCTATATGCTTGGACGTTATATCGAAGAGTACGAGCATACATGTATGCTTACCGTAAGATATACAGGGTGTCATGATAATTTTTCTCACAGAGTATATCACCGTTATTTCCAATTGTAGGAAGGAATATTGTCAACAGTAAGATTGTTTTGAAGTAGAATATAATAAAGTAATAACTTATTTCTACAAAGGAATATTTTGAAATTATATGTTTTTTATATTAGCTGTCAGTCATGACAGCTAACTGATGGGACGAGAACACGGGAATATCAGTGCAAAATAATAAATTCTGTACATAATGTTGCTTGCTGCCATTTAAAGTAGCGATAACAGTATAGGTGTACTAAAATATTGGGACACACTATATGTTTATTCAACCTATCCAAAAGTATCTCTAGCCGCGAGACGAAGAAGAATTCACTCTCGTATCTTTCACAGGGAACGTCGAGGGGGATTGGCCTCGAACGAGCGATTTGTGCGATCTTCGAGGACGTATTTATGAGCGTTCCAGGTTCCCACTTCTTCTTCCACTTTTATTTCGCGTTCACCATTCCGGAACTGTGCGCGCGATCTGAGTTACGGCGTGCAAAGTGCAACGTTGACACCTTATGCGACGTAATCGTTCCGCGACAGCATTGGCTCCTGGATTTATTTTCAAATCCTTGTGATCGGAACCACGTAGAGAAATTGAATGAATTGATTGGTAGGATCATTAATCTTGAATATTCCTATCACGTATTTTTTTAATACATATATTTCGATGCTATATAAAGACTGTAAGGAGAAAACTCATTGCATTATTCGAAATAAACCACGTGATACTCAAAAGTTTCATATCTTCGAACTAACTACAATACAGTCACCAACAATCTTTGCAACGCGGATTTATATGTGTTCATGACACATATTGTTAAACAAAGTTTATCGAAATAAAAATTTTAATAAGCTGTACCCAAATAAAACTTTAATTGATAAATACTGTGATAAATACTTATTGATAACTTTTATTCTAATAAATACATAATTTCTTTATATAATTTTCAATTTTCATTAATTAGTCTTCAAAAACGTAAGCTCGCTTGAAAATCTACACATCTAGTGATCGCGTAGTCGCGAAGAATAACGCGAGGAGACTATTGGAACCATTCAGGGTTGCTCGTCTGGCGTTATCCGCCGACGTCGGAGTGGATAACAAGTCGAACGATTTATTCTAAACCTTTATCCGGGGGCCCCTCGAAATTTATGAAAGAAGACGCCCGTTTAACCGACTCGCTCAGTCATCCCTCACGATGGTGGTGAAGCCACCCTTCCCTTGGCTGTCTTCCTGGCTCGGTCTGTCTTTATTCCGCCACATCTCCCGTGGTGCCTCCCTCCTCTCGCCCCCTCATCCCTCGCTCGACTCTCCACCCCGTGCTCACATGTCAGCCCTTTATTTTATACCAAGACGAGACCGTCCGAGCTGGTCCTAATATTAAAGGGGATGGCTCACCCTTAGCGCGTGATCGGGATACCGAAATTCTCCCGATCGGACGGATCGGGGTTCGTTCCTTATTGGAGAACGGAACGAACGTCGAGTGGCGGAGCTACGAAATGGAAAACGCGGCGAGAGGCTCGCCCCGTTTCGCAAGCCTTTACGCTCTGTAATACGTGGACTGCTTTGACTATTTGGGCTTGAAGCACCATTATTCTCTATTCTACCCTTAGAACACGCAGCGGGACGTTGCTGAGCATTTTTGGGAGGCAAATCCTTCTTTAAGAGTCTATTTATATTCAGTTCGTTTAATTCTATTACTATTATTAAATCTTCACATTATTATTTTACCTTCTTCGTTAACATTTTTCTTAATACTTTTTGTCTTGTGTGGTTGTAAGGATGCAGCAGTATGATAATGGTAAAAGGTTCAATGCTACAGTATAACAAATTTTATCGATAGGTTTCCAATGAAGACAGTTTTAATCAGATATTTTCATACAAAAGTGGTTATAACAAAAAAAACTTGTGCATTTTATTTTTTAATATAATTTTATCCATTAATATTTCTTTGTACCAAGTATTCTTGAATTTCTAGTTAACAACTATCGAAAGCGATCACACGTTTATCGAAGTTTATCGCTTAGTTTAGCTCGAGATAAAACATCGTATTAAAGAGTAACTTTTCTATTTGGTGTTTTCCAGTTGTACCTGAGCAAATCGCGGCAGAGTGGCTTTTCGAACGATCTGCAGCAGAGTCTCACAGGAACGGTCAGCCCAACTGCGCGTCAACAAGGTAAGTCTTTGCTCGTCGATTTTTCGGCCGCTTCCCTAGTTGCTGCCTTCATCCCCCACGGATATCTTTCGCCTCGTCCGCTGCAAAACTGTTCGTGAATTTCTGGCCGCGTTTGAAAAGATTCCGTCCCCCCGACCGCGCGGAGGTCGTTTCCTTGCTGTTTTCTCATTTCTGCCGGTTCAGCACGCGCACAGCCAAACACAGCCGTTTAACGTTCTAACGGTGAATATTTGCCTCATACGTGTGCCGAACAGTCGTGGCCACGTCGAAATGCAAGCGACGCTTCGAAAGTTTCGGCAATTTCGCGTGCACTCGGTCGGAATAAATATTTGATGCCGAAATAGTGGCCAATGGCGGTAGACGTTCTAAATTCTAACTGCACCGGAAATACTAGAATTGTTTCGTATCGTGCGGATACGTTTCGAACGATTAGTTTCACCGTGAAATGTTAATTCTGAAGGAACAAAGACACGACACGAACATAGAATATAAATATCAGTTGAAATTCAATTATTTGTGATCGAATTAAACAGGGATGAAAGTGTATTATTGGTAAATAGATGGTAAACTTAGTAACGTTGAATGCAATGTTAAAGTTAAAACTCTCAATCATATATGTCGACTAAAGTTAAATTTAAATTTCGTGTGAAATGTTATACAAATGAAAATAACATAATTTAACAGGCAGATTTGATTTTATAAAATCCAAATAGAGATTTTCTGTGTTCGTCTTAATTATCACGAGAATTTTAAGTGTTTTTTTATCATATTTTTTCATAACCATTTTTCGGGTTGTAGTTGTTTTCAAGTAATTTGGACATCGGTAACTATCGCGGTAGTTAACGCATCAAACCTGCGAACTTGAAGTTTCTATGGGCTAAGACAAAAGAAAAAAACGCGTCCAAGCTGTTTCTTTATTTGTATCGATCGTAAGTATTTCCACGGAACCGGTGATTCGCCTGCGATGTCGATGAGTCCCGGTTGTGGGGACGGGAAAAGCAGGGAGGATCCCGGCATCATGCATAACCAGACGCCGGTCTCGCATAAATATTCTAATAACTTCGGAAACTAATATGATTGCAACCAGCGGGAATAATGTCCCGCTCGAAGTGGGCATCGGGGATATGTATGCGTGGAATACGAAATACGCGGGCTGCGTCCACGATTCTCCTGTGCTAAAGCATGGATCGCCGGCTGAGGGTGAAATCGATCTCTCCATTAATGACAATGGTTAGAAAAATCGAGGCCTTCCGCCCCATGCACCTTAGGGTAATGATTATGATCAAGTATGAGACATCAAAGATTACCAAAGGTATTACAGACATAATAATTACGATTGCACCGAAGTTTTTCGATTTACTGAAATTATCGCACTTACGTTTGAAATTGAACAACGTACATGCGGTTGAAAGGTGCAGGCTCTAAAGGCACATATTCAATAAGGAAAGTACGTTGACGAAACGCGCAAACGAGCGAACGGAACGCACAAGCCACGCGACTATCGAGAACAGAGAGACTATCGATCTTGCGCGGGGAGGTTCGAGGAGTTGAACGAAAATTCATTCATTCGAGGTATTCCAGTTCGAAAATTAATTTCAATCCGTACTTGAACCACCGGCTTGAGCCTTGCCATTCTATCTCTGTCTCCCCCTCTCTCTCTTGCTCTC